AGAAAGTATAAAACATCCTCAAAGCTTAAAATCATAGCACTTTACTCCTTCTAAAAATGACGTCATATACACACACAAAAATACATCAACGTAAGTACAATAAGGTTAGGTAGTCAAAATAAATTGTAAAARTTATTGATAGAAATTAATCCAAGGACGTAGGTGAAGTTCATAAATGAATGTTCTAAACGKTTTTCAGGCATCTGAAGTCAAAGAAAATAAGTCAAAAGTATAGTTTATTCGAGGGAAATATTGCAATTAATTATCACATGCTTAAAAACATTAAAGTTGTATTTAATTAATTAATTATGTGATTTAACTACTATTTAAGTAAAGTAGTAGTATATTACCTATACAGTATACTATTAACATTAAGACGTATTTATAATTTTATATACATTCTCGTTAATCGTTACTATATTGTTGCTCAATATAATGTCATTAGGTCTCATAAAATTAATAGCCAATACGTACAATATTATAACAATGCATTAAGGCGCCTGGTGCCAATGTAACTTTGTTTATAAAAATACGCTCTACGGGAATAATGATTCTGTTATATATGTATATATTGTATATATATATATTGTTTTGAACTAATAGAGGATAATATTTTATATGTTGCATTGAAATCCGTTTTTTAAATATCAAATAATTGTACGAATAAAGATTATTTTTAATTTTTAATTTTAAATAATTTTACTTAGCATAAAAGGGATATGTTCAATAATATATATTACAACCTTAGCTATATATGAATTGGACATGTTATCTGCTTTATAATTGTGTTTTTAATTTTTGATTAGTTATTTAAGAAGCAAGCGTATAAGAAAAAACTACCAAAAAATACYGAAACATGGTAAAATGTATGGCATAAATTTATATTAAGTATTGGAAATTAAACTGTATGATAATAATTAGGTAATAAATCACTGCCCTGCGCCGCAGCACTGCAGTAACTGTACCTTTCTTTCCTAAATGCTGGTTAATCATATTCCTATATTAGAGTGTATGGTCTACAGGTATTAGGTAGGTATAAAATATATTTTACATTGTTAAAACTGTTTGTACCATTTTAAATAAATATGATATTCTTCAGGTTAACCATATGGTATACTTCCAATTGCACAGATGGTAGTTTTAAAAAGCAATTTATCATTTTAAAACAATTGTCTTATGATAAYTTGCTACATATATAAACAATTCAGTATAAAATAACGCAAAATTAAATAGTACCTAGACTCAATTATCATACAAAAATTACTTTTATATTAATACCTATTCAAAACTCATTGTGAGAGTCAAATTGATATAGTTTCTTCTATCTATAAAATATTTTTAAACTAGTTTTATAATTTAGTAATAAATATTAATTTTATTTCATTTTATTGTGATTATTTGCATTTCAATCATTTTCAATGAGGATAAATGCAGCAAATGCAATATGCATACTAATTGATACCTTTATAACAATAAATGGCRAACAATTTTATAATTAAAATGTATTCATACTTTATAGTATATAATTAATAATTATTGATTCTTCCTGCAACAAAGTGTTATCTGTTAGATGAATAATAAAAAAATTGAATAGTATTATTATTTAAAAAAATATATTAAGTTTATTTATTGTATATAGTTAAAAGCTTAGTTGAATACGAAATGCAGACAATCATTTAATTAAAATACCAGTATTACTTTAATATTAATTATAAAAATAGTTCATTTCAATTTTTCTAACACGGATTCGAATGAAACTAATTTATTTTCCACTAAACTTTAAATTAAAATGAAATATCAATGTAGGTGAATAGATATGTAGATATGTACATTATTATATACCAAAACTAATAATTGTATTCAAAATTTTAAATGTATAATTTATTTTCATTTTCCTGTACTTATACTACGTAGGTATTCAAAAACTGTAATTGTTTATTTTTTTTTTTAATGAATTGTTGTAACTTTTAGTTTTGAAACAATAACAATTTATTTTACATGTTTTTATGGCTAAAATTGTGCGTATAGTCTTTAGTTTATTCTGGCCACATATTTTTCTGTTYTCTCCACCTGACAGCTGTAAATTCGACTTCCTAAAAAGCAAAATGCCCATGGTTGAATTTATTTATCATAATATTTTGTCTTATCCTTTTGTACTGATTAAAAAATATTTCGATTGCAAATTAAATTAATTTTTTTTAATATTCACGTTTAAAAAAATTTTAGATTCTGAGCGGAGCGAGGAATGTATTTGATTTTACCATAATACCATGATGTGTATTGTTTAAATTTTTTTTTTTGTGCCTGTAATCAACTTTTGGGGCAGTAAAAGTGCTTCGATTTTCAACTTCAGTATTTCATTCGATCAGAAAGTGAATCTAGTTGGTACTTAGAGGGGTAAAAAGTAAAAACTTCTCAATATTTTTCTAAATAATTGGGTTAAAGAACCTAAAAATTAAGGGGGAAACGCTCAATCAGTTTTCGACAAAATCGATTTTGGTTTTTGATGTAACTTTTAAAAAAAAATACCAATAGATAAATGAAATTTTTACCGAATGTTTATATAAGTACATTCTATTCACTATGCAATTTTTAAAAAAATTCGACTTTAGTTTAACTATTTATAGGCATATGCAATTTTCGATCATTATTAGTTTTTTTTWAAATTAACATCGATAAAAATTTATTTGTTGGGTAGAAAWGCTTGAAAATTTAATACAAGGCTTCTAACATATTGTTACAATAGCAGTTGAAAAATAAAATAAATACATAAGGCACGATTTTTTTTTAAGCATTTAAAGTTCAAATTTTGACTAAATACATGAAAATTACGACAATGTTCAAATTATCTAGGCTAAAAATTTTTACTTTTAAATCTAAGATTTGAAAATTTTTAATAATCTATAATACCTATATCCTAGACAGATAAACCGTCTCCGCTCAGAGTCGTCTGTCGTATGCAATGATATAATATCATTGGATTCAAATTTAATTCCATCCATTACAGTAACCCACTTGTAAACTACTGTACAGCAGAGCGACATCCACGATTTACCTGATTTTTATTTCGTATTTAATAATCATTTCATTTTTATTATGTTCCGTTGTCCTCAACTGAAGACGAGCATGCAGGTCAACTTTCTAAGTTTAATATCGTCTAGGGCAACAGGTATATATATATATATCTATAGAAGGTACGCGTTTACTCTCTTTTTCGATTTTAACCAAACACTTTCTCTTTGATCATTTACGCCTATGCATATAATAATAATAGCAACGTTAAACGATATATTTTAAGATAACGCGTTTATATCGACATATTGTAGTGTTGTACCGCGTGACATTACCTATTTATATCTAACAATAAAAAATGGTTAAACAATCAATCTAGGTAATTAAAACGCAGTTTWAAAAAAAAAATAAGTAATGCAAACAAAAACTGTTTTTATTGTATACCGTTTTAAATATTCAACTAAAATGGTAAAGTTTGGGCTTAGGTATAACTTGACGAAAAACTAATTTTGATTTTCACTCATTAACTGCATATTATTACACTTTATCATTTTCTCATACATTAAATAGTTTTCCAATAAAAGAAAAATAGTTTGAAAGTGGCGTATTTATGATTGGGGAGTTGTTAGATACACCTCTTACATTTTTGGGGATGTTCCAATTTTTACTGAAATACTTCCTTTCTTTTTTTTGATCATTTAATTTTACCAGATTCCTAGATACTCCACCCTCATCGTTAAAAAAAAAATAAATATAACTAAATATATGACACTGATTCAGTTAGAAGATTCTTAATTTAAAGTACAAGTGTACGYTTTATTCGTAATGCAATAATATAACTACATTATTGAAATCTTAATATAACACCTAATAATAAATACTGAAAAAACTAATAATTATACCTATAGTACCTATTCATGACTGTTACATGTTTGACATGGACACGGATCAGGTTAACTTGAGCCAGTCTCAAAAAGTAATACATAAAGCACAAAATACTAAGGGTAGTAAGTGCATTATGTATGTAATTTTGATATATTCTTATATAGATCTAATTATGGGACGGGATGTTTTTTGTAACTGTAAAATTGTTACAAAACAGCCAATACAGTGGACTCGGCGCAGGACAGTTGCAGGTACGAGTTGCCCGTATCAATTATCGTACTCTAAAATTTTGACCAAGTGTTGGCAAGTGCGGTAAGATTTTTGAAATCATTAGCGTGTGGCGGCGGCCGACGCTCACCGTAGCTCTGGTAAAACCCGGCGTCGCCCCGAGTGTGGTTGCGCCGCTTGGCGCATTGCAGGTGCCGGCGGGCCAATGGCTGGCTGCCAAGGTCCGTTTGCCTGCAAAAATCCGATACACCGTGGCGCGCAACGCGTCAACCCAAAAATATTCCGGCCGGGCGGCGGCGGAGAGGTTACCTAATCGCCGCCGCCGGACAATAAATTATTAATGTAAAATAATAATATGACGACGAAATAAATACCGTTTTAATTTATACCTACACAATATTGGTCCCGACAATAGATGAAAAGAAAAAAAATTGTTGTTACCATACTTAAATTCTAGTAAAAAAAAAGCGAAATAATTTTAGGAGCTGTAATTTAATTCGTTTGCCATCGTTAAGTAGTAAATAGTAATGCTGTGCAGTGGTAGTAGTAGTCGTAGTGGTGTATGTMGGAAGGTAGGTAGTATAATATAATATTATCGTATTATATGTGCGTACGTTGTGTAGTATATGGTAGTAGTAGTAGTAGTAGTAGTAGTAGTAGTAGTAGTAGTAGTAGTAGTAGCAGTAGTAGTAATAGTAGAAGTTCAGTGTGTGCGAGTGTTATTTCGTATTTCTCCTGCGCAGAGCCAGAACACATCCGGGGCGTACGACAGTGCGCGCGCCGCCGGTGACGTGACGGCCGCCACCGGTATCGCCCCGGTCGCGCTTACTCCTTCCACACACCTACCGCGACGACCAACACCAGTTTTACACTGAAGACTGAACACGGTTACTGGTACTACACAGTCTACCTTTCGCGCACGATCCCACTACGACACCAGTGCGACTACAGACTATACATACAACGCTGCCGTGTTGTAGGTACTACAGTGGTTATATTTTCTCTCTCGCACACGCGCGCGCCGGGTCGCTTCGCATCGTTTTCAGTTGTTTTCCGTCATTAAACGGCATACATACCGTCGTTCGTTCTTCGAAATAAAAGTATTCTATCCGTCGCGTCCGACAAACTACYGACGGCACCCCACGTTTCGTTGATACGATACGAGAAGGAGAGGCAGTGAGCAGTCAGTCATCGAGTTACCGAGTGAGAGGTAAACGGTGTTCAGCGGCAAGTATCCCGGCCGGCAGACCTGAGCATTTCATTGGAAACGCGGTTATCGCGGTATCCGTCGGAAGCGCGCGCGTTACTACAGAGTAACCACCGCCGCTTGTCCGGGTGACATACGCACTCACGCACACATACACTCGCCGCGTCAGAAGCAACGCGTCGTATACTCGTATACCACGCCAAACGTGTCCGTTATTGAATTTCTCGTCGACGTAACACCGACATCATAACCAAAATGGTGAGTGACATCAATACAATGTTATAACATTTACAATTATWATTATTATCATTAGTATTATTTGTTACGATAAGATATGGGCGGCCGCGTTTGCGRCCAGTCGGTGTCCGTTAAAAAAAAAATAATTACCGAAGGTGGCGGCAGCCGCGGTTGTTGTTGCCCAGGCCGTTTATTTTTAGACGAACCGTTATGATTTTACTTTTTTTGTTTTCTCGTAATCGGTTGTACCGTTTGTGGTCGTCTAGACCGTCCCAACTGCCGCCGCCTTAGTCGTCGCCAAGCCGCCAAGGTGTTCAACATGGCGCTGCCGCTGTACATATGCGCCTCATTTGTGGCTGCGGCGGCGGCCGTTTTGAAAACGTTTTTATTAATCGTTTTCTACAATTCTTCCTTCCAAAATCAATTACCTAGACTATATATTTTATATTTATACGGTCTGTCAGTGTCGGCGGCCTTGACCTTTGCGCGACACAAAGATTTTGTTCTCGCGTAGGTAGGTATTTATCGTGGTCGGGTTTTTTCATTCGTTTTAATTTAAYGTCGATGACGGTGGCAACGGCGGCTGACATCGACGACTACGCGGTTTTCTGTACAGTGTGCCGCACTGTGTTGGTCAAAAAATTCTCGTCGTTCATTATGATTTTATTAATTTTTCGAATCCTTAAAACGTGCGTAAACGCCGTCATGCATTTTTATTATTTGTCGCACGACGACGACGATACGGTGTATAATGTGCATTATATTATTATTAATTCCCCGGTCGTCGGCTGACCGGTGACAACGATTTCATCGGCCGTTTCGGCGG